TTCATCCATATAGAATGCTTTTTTTGTTATTGCAGTTTTGCACAGATCATACAAATAACACATATTTGCAGAAAAAAAAATGCTGAGTTAGAGCCAGGTACAATTTGGTTTAAAAAGAATTGTTTCTAATTTGGATAAATTATCACACGACAGACATTTTCTCTAAGTTTCATGAAACAGAAATATCTCTTGAACGTGTCTTTTCCTGTCTCTTCAGTCTGATCTATAGCTGGTATAGGATTCAAAGTTAGGTGCAAACATTAAAGCCCTGAGGAAACACTTGGGCCATGCGTTGCACATTTTAATCCGGTAGAATTCAAACACCTGCTTTCAAACGAAGTCCTGCAGGAATTCACGCTAAAGCTAAAAACAGAGGGTTCAATCCTTAAACTGCAAGGCCCAATGACTCGTCAAACATCAAAACATCCCTTTAAATATATATATATATATATATATGTATTTATTCTTAATTAAAAAAAAATGAAAATAAATTAAAAATAACGTGCTGAGAAATCACAATTTAAGTATGACAAGTATGTAACTTCTTCTCAGACTTCGTGATTTTGTACTTGCAGGAGGGCAAAATGAATAATTTTAAAGAAGATACTTTTATTCCTTTAGATTCAAATCTTTAAAGTGAGACACCTTAAACAGGCAGCGCCCCCTAGTGGCTATGATGTTAATATTGTTTTATACTGTTTTCAGCTCAGACTCATCTGGCGATGCAACTTTACTCATGTTATAAAACAAACAGTGGCGGATCTAGGATTTTTCTGAGGGTGGGGCCATCAAGGGGCCACAATATTTATAGAGGGGCCATGTACAGTCCAACATACTTGCATACTATTCCCAGTTTTGTATGGTAGATACAGTTTACCCCAACACCATGTTGAAAAACATTAATGCAATTGTACATCAATTTTTACTGTACATAGACAAAATACAACCACACACAGCATTTGAGAAATTTTAGCATTCAATTTATTTTGCAAAGCCACAAATATCAGGTTAAAATATGTTTGTGTGTGGAAAAAACACCAGAAGAATATCACAGGACCCTCTGCTCTTGACTGGGAAATGTCTGGTGGGAAGTCAATTAAATAAGTCTGAGTCAATTGCTTATATCTCTCAACCTTTAACATTCATGGCATTCAGAGTCTGTAAGTGATTGACTGCAAAATTCAATTAAATTTAAAGAGCCTTTACAAAATGAGAAGCACACCACCAGGTCCTACTGGAACAGAACACCGTTCTGATGTCTGCGCAGGATTCTGTGCATCACACTGGAAGATGTCTGAAAACAGCAAATGAGAAATTATCTAACATAAGCCAAATACATACACAAGCATTTCTTACTCTCTAAGATCAATGTTTACCATTTGATCCTGCAGGATTAGTATTGATTGGTGACTCTGGTGGCCCAGCAGGATGGGATGTTATGTCATTAACTTCACTCTGGTTGTCTGAATTGGAGAGAGTCTTGTCCCAGTTTGCAGCTAAAATACAAATATATGTCAAACTCCAGCTAAATCCAGCCAAAACTTTGTTTTCTATGAGACCACATTTTTATTTATTTGAAATTGAAGACTTCAAAGATTGGACTATAAAGATGAGATGTGGTAGATGTAGACAAAGAAACCAATACAATTTAAATCCATTATGTTAATGTTATAGTAAATCACATCACCATGAAGCGGAAGAATTCAGTAAACATATGTGCCATTAGTACAAGATAACATCATTTAACAAATTTGAGATAATGGTGATTTTTTTTATTTTTACCTAGAATAATGGCAGGAAAAGTTGGACTAACAAAGGAATATCCAAAACACAAAATCTCTTTGGAAAACTTAACCTTGACCTTACTTAATCAACCAATTAGAAAATTCAGTGTTTCAAACAAGGACTTTTCCCACACATTTTACAATACATCAAAATGTCACAATTTAGGGAAACCTTGAAGGAATTGTGGGAAAGGAAACTTAACTGCAACATTACTGATGATGAATGGAAAGATGCTTTGAGAAATGTAAAATCATTTACTAAAGGGAAGCAACTTTGCCACTAATGATTTGTCACGATTAACAACTTCTATCAATTTAAACAATAATCCTTTATTTTTGGTGCTTGGAATAACTGACCCAATTATTACTGATAAATATAAAAAGCTCAATGCAAATTTTCTGTGCAAGAAAATGACTCCACATTAACTGGATCAGCTCCAAGATAAAATGGGAAAAGGTTATCCTCAATTATAAGCAGAACACACCGGGCAGCATTAGGTCGTTTATAAGTGGTCATACGTCCTGCTGGATAATGTGGTGCAATCATGATCTTTTTACAAAAGATTACGCGATGGCGGTGAAAAGGGAGCTTGGGGGCGGTCTCTGCGCTGCCACGGACTTCAGTTTATCTTGGACATAACTTGCTTTTTATTGCGATCAAAGCCACACTCATTAAGCTTTTTTAACAAGCCGCTCCAGAAGGTGTCTGTCCCCGTGCAGTATCTGGTGATCTGAGCTTCAACTCTTACGGAGAGGCTCCCCGGCCATCATCTCAGCTGATTCTGTTTAGAAAAGCCAAACTTACGGCCCATGTTTACTTTCATTTTCAATATAGTTGCCGGCCGGAGCTCGGCAGTAACTGCCCACGTGATCATGATACCCCCTTCTGTTGCGCCAAGTTGTAATATGCATTCACAAGTCCGGCGTTGCGGTGATATTAGTATCAACCGTGGCAGCACGAATGCCACAAAATTCCCGCAACACCATGCCGCCACGGCGCGTTTATATTACACGTACGCTGATTTCCCAGCATGGTATGTCCTACAAGAGGCTGTCTCTCGTGTTTATCTGACATGACTGTTGCACAATAAAGATTATATTCTTTCTGACCTGATAAAGGGGGAATGGAGGTCCCTTGCCCTGTTCCAGCCTCTGGTCTACTGCCTCCTGCGGCTCTCTCTCTGATTTCTCCATGCTCGTTCTCACCAGCTGACACACTCACTCTCTTGGGAAAAAACTGCAGAATTCCCGCCTGTATCTGACCCTTTCTTTTCATGTTCTCTATCAGACAGTGCCAACTATTAACACACGAAATGCAGATTACAAAAGAAGTACATGGATTAGCAAGGGCTAACGTTTTTTCACAAGCCCTTTTTAACATTACCTTTAACTAATGTCGGCATTGCTTTCCATTGGACTTATTGTCAGACTTGACTTACATGGCAACTGTGAGTAAACAGTGATTCGTGACTTACCAACAAACTCCTCATAACGTGGACTCTCATCAGATCCGATGTCGGTTGAAAAGTTCTCCCTTCTTGGAATCTTTCAAATCTTCTTCTGTTGGATTTCACACACTATTTTGCTCCTTAGCGCCACACGGCCACTAGTGTTTGGACTCGGAATTGCATCCACCTATAATCTCATCACCGCACAAAGGACAGATGAGTGACAGGACAGGGGCACTACAGGGGCCAATCATATTTCAGCAGGGGCCAGTGCCCCTGTGGCCCCGCCCCTAGAACCGCCAATGAAAACAAACAAGTCTGCACATTACGGTTTTATTACAAATGTATAGAGTAATAAACTGTTAAATGTTGCTGAGTTTCATTGCATTGTTCTCTCATCTCTAACTTTGCTGGATGTTGCTTGATGTGAAGGATCAAACTTTGTGAGAGGGTGCTCGCTGCAGACCTACAAAGGCGGAGCTGCACCATAAGGTGGAGCTGCACCAGAGTCAGCCCCGCCCATTCACGCAAACTCAGTCTAGCCCACTGACTTCCGTTTTTGTTTTTCCAACTTTATCGCAAACTAAACTGACCCACATGAATTACGGCTGTTACTAGTTTACAGTCGTTAATGCTATGTTCTATGCTTCAATTAAACAAGGTAAATATAACTTGCTACATGACAAAGCCTGAATATATCTCGAAATGAAAAGGTTTCTTTTAACGAATATCTACCCACAGCCGTTCCAAGAAAAGTGGTGTACAACAGCATCTGTGATTTACTTACGTGCCCTGGTAGTCCAGTGGTGAGATCGTTTAACTTAAATTTTGCTTTCCCCTCAGCTGGTGCTGGTTCGATTCTCGGTGAGGTCGGCAACAATCCATTTAGCCAGCTGAAACATTTTAATTTGTTTATATTTTAGTTGTAATGTTTATTTTCAGCAAAATATTTATGTCTCTAAAAGTTCTTTGAATTTGGTCGTTCCTAAACAGTATTTTAGTTGAAACTCTGCTCACAAATGGACTCACACTGGCTAAATAAACAAATAAATAAATAAACACATTAGTCATATGTTAAACGGTATACCAGTAAATTGTTGTAAACATAGTACTGGCAAGTGTAGCTAGAAATGAGGAAAAGGGGTTGTAAGCTACCTAATATTTCTGCTAGTGGGAGGCGAACCTGCGCAAAACTGCATGTCAACTTGACTCTATAACCACTACACCACCACATCTTAAAAAAGTCAAGTGGCGTTACATTTGATCATCCTATCCGGTGTGTCTTTGTAGATGGTATGTATGATTTTTCCGGCGGTGTCTCAGAAGAAGTCATTTAAGAAATAATTTGTCAGAAAATTCACAGAATATCCAGATTTGAGAACCAAGACCAGACCCTCTTCGGGGGAGGAGACCAAATTGAAGCTGAGATGGGAAGAAAATGCATGAATGAGGCCAAAAATGGCTTTGGCGTGTTTCTTATGAGGAAATGACAATATAACATGATTAAAAGTTCCAAAAGTTTGATTTTTAATTATATGGAACCTTTACAAAAACTGTTCAATTAACTTCTCAACTCCGTCCTCAATTTTTTAGCTATAACACCCTCTTTGGTTCCAGAATGCTATCAAGTCTGACAACTAGAAGGAATTGGACTGACTCTTATGGAATGGGCGGGGCTTATTCTGGAATGGGCGGGGCTGACTCTGGTGCAGCTCCACCTTCTGGTGCAGCTCCGCCTTTGTGGTTCTGCAGCGAGCACCACTTGAACTTTGTTGGACTTCAGACTTTTATTCACTTAAACGAAACACAATAAAATGCATCAGGTTGCTGTTTAATAGCCAACTTTTCTGATTTGATGTCCACAGTGAAATGACTTTAGCTCAGTTACAACACTGTTCCCTCTACAGACCCTAATCTTCTCCCATTTAAAATAAAAAACACAAACTTGCCCATAGTTCCTGTATGAAAGACAAGTTTTACATCTTAATTTCTACATAGAGGGCTAAATCAAAGCATGATACCGAACTGATTTTATTTTCTTAGTGAATGCAGAAATGAGAAAAAACCCCGAAGGACCATTTTTTTTCCAAATTAACTAAAACCCAGAGCAGCTGTACAAAAAGGTGACACCAGATGTATGTGGTAAGTAGCATTAAACCTGATACTCCAAACCTACTTGGGCTTGATGAGATGTGTTTTTTTTCCTTTGGTGGATGATTTTTCTGCAAACTGTTACAAAGCAGAGATTAAGCTACTTTATGAATCGACGTTCAGCACATGGTCCCTCAAGACAAGACAGGCAGTAAGTTCCCCTCAGAGCAAATCTACATGCTGTTCATGGAGCAAGAAAAGGTAAATATATTAATAAAACTCAACAGTTGTTCAAACTAATTCAACTCAATTTCACCTAAATTATGAAACACATTAAAGGAAATGCATTCAAACACATTTCAGAGAAATATTTTTCTCTAAAAAGGTATCAAAATTGTTCTGGATAGTGAATGGAGATGTAGAATTAGATATTAAAACCAATCACCTGTTTCCCTTCCTTACAGAGCACAGTGGAAAAATAAATATCACGATTTCATGATCAAATTGTCATTTTTCGTGGTTTAGCTTGAATGTGGGGTCGACATCGACAGATGGTCTGCATCTGAGGGGTGTTCGGGGTTTGTGTCCATGTCGGCTGGTTGGGGTTGGGATCTTTAAGGGGTTCTCCTGGATGCTCATTAGTGGACTTCTTCACTCTGAAGCTGCAATGACTTTCTAAAAGAAAACAAAGTTATATAGATTTAGTCAAAACTGTCAGACATCCCACCTATGCACACATGTCAATCACAGCATGAATGCTCAAGTGGGGAAGTACCTAGACCAGGGCCATTCAATTCCGGGCCGCTAGGGCCGGTGTCCAGCACATTTTAGTTTTAACTCTGCTTCAACACACCTGATTTCAATCAGCAGGTGTAGGGATGACTACCTTTGACATTTGAATCAATCCGGTACTAATTCCCGGTACCTACGAATCGATACCGGTACTTAAAGGTACCAATTTTTGATACTTTTGAGTGTTTAATATTTTAATTCTCTTTTATAATTAAACATATATTTTTCCTCAATATATAACAATATTTGATAATTATCACGATAAATAACATTTATCTGTTTGTATTTTAACATCGTCCTTGTAGTTTTATAAGCTGATAATTAAACTGAAGCAAACATCTTTACTGTGAACTAAATTTACTGTGTATCTTCATTCCTTTTACCATCCTTTTTCATTTGATTTTTCCTACTGGGAAGTTAGAATTTCCGAGGAGAAAGCGAATGCACCATTAGCTGATAACGGTGGCAATGGAAGCTAACATATCAAGCTAACGTTATCTTAAACAGTTTAACTGCTGAAGCAGATTTAAACGATGATGCCTCACACTTAGATCGTTGTCGCTGGTTTCATCTTCACCCAATCACCTGTCGCATTTAGTAAAGTGAAGCCAAACTTAAGAGCGTGTTCGTGTTCTTCTAGTCGGATATTCGGAGTTCCGAGGAGAAAGCGAACGCACCATTAGCGAAACGGAAGCTAACATATCAAGCTAACGTTATCTTAAACATTTTATTTACCTACCGGAGCAGATTAAGATGAGGATGTCTCACTTAGATCGTTGTCGCTGGTTTCATCATCACCCAGTTACCCATCACATTTAGTGAAGTGGACCCAAGCTTTAGCGTTCGTTCTTTCTACCATGCTGCTCTGTTTACAACTGGCTCGCAGGGACGACGACATAACGCTCTTGCGCATGCGCAGCTGTCTAGGCAAGTTCTCGTTATGAAGGACGGGTACCGAAACGAGGCACCATTTGAAATGACGTGAATTGGTGCTCGGTCGGTACTATGGAATTCGGTCGGTACCTTAAAAAGTACCGAATTCGGTACCCATCCCTAAGCAGGTGATTAAATGACTTCTGCAGAGCCTGATGAGCTGCTGCACAGGTGATTCAACCATTGAATCTGATGTGGAATTAAATAGCCCTGACAAAATGTCTTTTAGCTATGCGTTGTTGGATAAAGGAGTGCTGATGAGTGAGTGAAGATTCACTCTGTCAATCGGAATGGAATTTCATTCTGATCAGGCAGTATCGGATCAGAATATTCCAATTGATGTGTTTACATAAAGAATTTTTGACCTGATAGGGCATTCATTTTGATTACTTTTGTCCATGTAAACACAGCTACTGTTATCACCACTGTCTCACCTGCTGTACGTAAGGCAAATTCCTTCATTTAGTGCCATTGTACGTGAACGACTTTCCAGTTTTCCTCAGCGCATCTTCGAGAACTTTCACATCCTTGTCAGACTCAATCCAAACCAGATTATTTGGCTGGTCAATCTCAAACTTTGTATCTAGGAGAGACAGAAAGAGCGCAATTGTCAGAATATTGAATTAAAAAAAACATGCCTCACGTTGAAAACCTGCAGTAGTAGTCAGTAGTTTATCTAAAATAAAGCTAACAATCTTAGCATTAAATAACCTCCATAGCAGTCAAGAGCTGAAAAGAGGTTTAGTTAATTTTGTTACATCAAAGCTCCAGTGTAACTGGATTGAAACTCAACATTTTACAGAGTAAAAGAATGGTAAAACTATCACATGACATCACATGATTTACCTGCTGACTCAAAGCTCAGAGCCAGCAGGTCATTAGATGGATGTGATAGAAACTAATTTTAGACATTTTAGTCAAATGCCACTTGAATAGGAAGATGTGTGGGATAAATTTAAGCCTCCACAATGGATTTTGTCCAACAAGATGAATATTAGAAAAATATTTTTGATCAGCTATAAACATAGCTTGAAAAAACTTATTTTAAATTATTTTGGATAATTATATAGAATATAGAATATAAATAATGCATACAGTCAGCATAAACATGACCCATGTAAAAAATTAAAGTGATGTTGCTGAAACAGAGAATTTCTACATTTTAAAGTGTTGTTCTCTCAAGACTGCTCCAAAGACAGATATAAAGTGACACATTTAATCCTAATATAAAAAAAATCTGCTTGATATAAAATCGTTAACACTCCATTCTTTACAAAGACGAAATTATATATTTTAGCTGAGAGAAAAGCAGTTTCAGACTGACAGCCAGTAAAACAAACAAAACAGGCAAGTGAAGCGAACAACTGCAGGAGACTGGAAGAGGAGTTTTACCTTCCAGTTTACCGAGGGCCTTGGCGACAGTCGCTGAACATTTCTCACACTCCATTTCCACCTTAAACTCGTGTTTCTGTGAGGCAGGCAGAAGCAATGTAAATAAATCTAAACTTTTAGTGAGAATTAGTACATTTGTCTATTAGTTGTTATTTAAATTTTCATCCTAGATACCATGGTTTTTGTATAACATTACTTCTTAATCAATAGTTAAACCGAGGTGTTTTTAAAGAGGTCTGTGAGCAATAAATGAGTTAGCTAGGTGACATTTGAAGGTTTACTTTGCAAGCTACTGCCAGTCAATGCTGTTGCTACATACTTAGGAGCAACGTCTATGCTAACAAAAAATAAAGAAGTCATTAGAAAACTCACGGTCATGTTTTCTGTAGCGTGTACCTCCTAGCGATCGGACAAACTGTAAACCTGCGATTGAAAAGATCGCAAGCGTCGCAGAATCACCCGAGAAATGCTTTCAACTAGCTAAACTGGTTACTGTAAAGTTAGCTTTAGCCACAACAGTAGCTCAACTTCCGGTCGAATAAAACAAAAGCACGTCCCCTGTCTCGTGACCACCCGGTGGACTAACCAAACCAAGCGCTTTCGTTCCGAGCTGGTGTCGCTTTTTTATTTTCAAAATAAAAGCCTATTTTAACAAACATACTTTAGAAAGAAGACCCGATTGTTTAAATATACTTGCAGTTAGATGTTACCAAAATTCACTTAATGACGTTAAACGTGATTTTTTTCGCTGACAAGAAGCTATTATATCTTTATTATTTCAAGGTTTTAATATATCTCTATGGCAACAGAACGTGGAACATCCTGGTCGGTCGGGTCATGTGACCACACCACTGGCTCCTCTGAAGGGAAATTCTATTAGCTGAGCCGAGTCTGCTTTGCTCCCAATCTGTGCCGCGTCGCCGGCAGCTACGCTGTGTTGCCTTTTTAACTGACTGCGATACGAAAATAAAAGGTTTGCGGTCAGGCCACTGAGATAAAGCCAACGTTGGAGGAGAGGACACACACGGTTGTCGCAGAGGTAGGCTGGTGCTGTTTGTGATGGGCCGAGCTGCTGTTTACGAACACATAGATGACATCGGAACCTTCAGCTAACATCAGCTAGCTTATTTAATGGCACGACCAAGGCAGCTCTTAACTTTACCAGCTTCCATTAGCATTGTGTTGAAGTGTTAGTATTTTCAGTGTTTTTCGGTTTCATTTAGAACACCGGTCTCGTGTCTGCTTTGACAGCTCACGCGTCTCCCGGCCAAAGATAACACACCATTGATGCGATTACCGCGTTAATCTGGTCGGTCTGCGGGATGTCTGTTTGCTCTCATGAAAGGACAACACTTCTCATTTAAAATGTCTAAAAACAAACTGGTTCAGTGGGGAGTGCTTTGGCTACACCCTGATCTTACAGTTTAGTTGCTTTTCACTTGCCAACATTTTCATATTGACATTTTATTTGCCCTGAATGCTAATAACTACTAGCATCCTCAGAGGCAACAACTGGATCCGCAGAGGAACTTGGCCCCCATCTGTTTTGCAGAATTTTTTAATTTCAGCCACGTTGGGTGGTTTTCTGGCATGACCACCTTGTTTCAGGTCAAAGGTCAGATTTTCATGTAAAGCAGCCCCAGACTACCACACTACCACCACTGTGTTTAACTGTTGTGCTGTTTCTTTTCTGAATACCAGTGTTAGGTTTACTATTTAATCATGACAACAAGAAAATAATTCTGAAAGTGGGCATTTTACAGCACTCAACATACAACATAAGTAATGAATGCAGACAATCTACATTCAGCTTCTCAGGTTTGATCAATTAATTGATTTTAATTTAAATGGTGATAACAGTTTATTAGATAAGACATGTGAGTTATCTCTTTAGTAACTAAAGTTCTATTTCACACAGCTGTATCTTTCTAATCTTGTCTGCTTGCGAGTCTTCTTGTACATGTTTTTGTTTGTTCCTGTTCTTGTGAAGGACTGACTGTTAGAACCAGGACAAATATGTGCCGGTTAGCTTCATGCAAGATTTCTGTCTCACATTCTCTCTGGTGTGGATCAGCAGGTGCTCAGCAATGTTTTCTTAAGTAGTTTGAGCACACTGCAGGTTATAAACATAAACATGCCCTGTTTGAACTACCAGCTCTGGTGCTACCAGGGCTTATTAGCCTGATGGGGGATAGGAGATGAGGCGTGTAGGTGTTTCTCTTCAAAGATCATTAAACACTGGTAACAGGATAAGTAAAGAAAGAACTGTGCATAGCATTCATGTTAATGAATCAGAGTTGGATGATGATGAGTGTCGGTCAGAATGTAGCAGATTAACATTTTTGGGCCATTTAGTATTGCATTGCTGAAATGTTGCATCTTTATTAGTTGTTGCACAATACCTATCAGTTAGGATGGCAGAGAGACAGAATTCATGTAGACGAATATTAAGCACACTTCCTTACACGTTGACTTTAAAGGCTGCTCTGCTGTGCCTCCTCTGTGGGCACTTATCTGTGAAACACAAATCAGCTGAAGCGTGAAAACAAATCAGACTGAGTGTGCTCATGCACGAGGATTTTGCACTCATAACCTATAGAAATATCTTTTTAATCAAATGTAGGTAAATTTTTGTTCATGTTGTCTAAATATCCTCTTTTATGCCTTCAATTCACTTTCTTAGCATATATTTTACCAACACATTACACTAAAGATTAAGTTAAATTCAATAAGCAGCTGAATTGATCAGCATCATGTACTCTCACAGTTTACTCAAAAGTGCAATTTTGAGATTCATACTTTTGTTTGTGAAGCTGCACAAGTTCCACCGTCTGACCTCCTGATAGTTGGACGTGTCGAGAGACAAGTCCCAAAAAGACAACCATCTTTTTTTGGTCATAGACGTTTAAATTAATCTTGTCTTCATTCACAGCTGAGTCAGAGTCTGTCTGAGTCCCCAGAAAACTTGGAGCATCCTTGTAAGATGCTTCAGTTTTCTCTCACTCACGCACACGCACGCACGCACGCACGCACGCACACACACACACACACACACACAGAGGTGTGAACTAAGGCTACGTCACAAAAACAATACAAATTCACTTTACACAGTCTCAACACGCATCAGATTAGTTAATATGTCAAATTTGAGAACAGACGGTTTATTTGCTTTTTATTATTTACCATGAAGCCTTTTATTTGTGAATTAGTGCACTTATTCTTTGCTGAGTCATGATGTGTTGTGAGCAGTTAAAAAGATTAATCTAGAATCATGAAAAAATGAGGCATATTTAGCGATTTTAACATATTTACAGCCCAACATTTTACCATTTTCTGTATTTGTTATCTTTAGGAGCAAAGTCTGCTGCTGTTACTGTTTTACCATGAAGTTTGTGCTGGTTTTCGCTACAGATTCAGTCCGTCTTTCCCCAGTTGTACTTTTCCACGCCAGACTCTTCCTCTACGTCGCTCTAGGAGCTGTGAAGCTGGGAGAAACGACACCCAGCCACCAGCAAAAACCACCCGACCCACCGTGATGGCATCCAGCGACATGGAAAGTCGAGCTGATGGTGAGAACATTAAAGATGCTGATTCTCTTGGTTTGGATATTTAAACACAATGAAAAAAAAAAGTTTAGCAGATGATGCTGTTATTTTTGAATGAACACCTTCAGAAATGTTTTAATCACCGTTAGGCTGTCTTGTAGGCTCAATAATCTTATAGTGGATATTTAAAATATCCAGAGTGAAGGAGAGGAATGTAAAAAAAAAGTATTTTAATAATAGATTTTAGTCAGTTTCATTGTTTTGGTGATTGTTTGGAGCCACAATAAAATACAGTGATTAGATTGAGTAATTAGATTAACTGCACAGACAGAAGATAAAGCAATGCTGGTAGTTAGTCTGAGACAGATTACCTGTAATCCCACAGGTAGACACTGAATCATCAAAGCAGCTTTCATTTATTAAATCAGACTGCAGTTCCAGCTGGGTTCTTCTTCTGTAAGAGGTCATTAAATAAATAGAACATTCGTGACTTTATGATGAAGTTATTATTAGTGATAATTTATCTCTTTAGTGCATCATTTAAAAATGCCAAATGTGTTTTACAGCACAGATGAGGTTGGATTTGTTGCCACTGAGGGAAATATCAAGTGTCCTTGTCGTTCAGACATTTTTCTTCTTAGTTTGAACTTTTGCTTTGACTCAATTTCCCCGGTTCATTTATGAATACTCTTGTTTGGTCACGCTTGTTGTGTTAAACAGGCTTAAAGGAAGAACCTCCGTTCCATTTTAACTTGTGTTTTCACACCGTGAGCACACATTCCCCCTGCTGATGCAACTCTAATTAACTCAGCTTTATTTTATTTGACCCTTGGTGCTTCCCTAGTGACCCATCTGCTGCTGTCAAACACACGTTAGCAGGCGTATACAGGAGGGCTTTGTAGCTGCAGGGCTTCTTGTCCTCTGTGTGCACATCTTTAAAGAAAATACCGTTCATTCTAGTCTGCTTGATAGAAGAGATCAGAAATGGCATCAAATTGATTTCTGGTGACTTTTAAAATCACAAGATTCTCTTTTATCTTATTTGTCCGTTAGCAGAGAGGTTGGTGCACAGGCGATACCAAACAAATGAGTTGATTTGTCACTCACATGACCACTGGAATGTGAAAGTGCTGTTTTCTTCTGACAGAAACCAAGAAACATTGCCTCTGATCGTCATTTAAACAGTCTGATAGTTTTCCTAAAACCCAACAACGACATCACAAACTATGCACGACTGTTTTTTATGCCACATCTTATCATGTAAGACATGGTAATAATCGCTGGTTTACATAAAGGGCTGTGTCGACTCTAACGGTAACACGAGTTGCAAGAATTAGAAAACGTTGCATGAAGATGTTTGGTTTCTCCACACGTCTCCTGTTACACACCCTTTGTGTGTCAGACAAACATACAGAGTGTTGCGTCAACACTTAACGTGTCCATGTCATCATTTTTTACTTAAGGACTGAGTCTGCTGTAGTTTTGCTGAGTTGTGTGTTTCCACCGATTCAGAACGACTGGTCTGAACTGTAAACGTACTGGTCTGGTATAAACCAGCTGTAGGAGAAACCTCATGAGGAACATGACTCCCGCATCAATCCTGTTGATCTCATGAACTTTTTAAGTAGGTGTTTGTATTTGGTTACTTTTAGATCACTTCACTTGTTTCTAACTTTTTAAAAAAGGAGACGTGTGCAGAAGGAATCAGGCATCTTCCTCTTAATCAGTATATTTTCTTCTTATGCAGGATCTTTGTTCTCGGACCAGATCCCATCAGAACTGGACGCTCTGTGTCCGTCTCCTCCTGGACCATCCAGACCTCAAAGGAACTATGAGAGGATTGGAGGACAAACGGGAACCTCGTAAGTAATTTATAATCTGTGGAAAGCGTCAGTCTGTTTGATGGAGAACAAAACAGAGCTGAGATGTTTCCAGTCAACCTTCTTTTTTTATTTCCTTACTGGACAGATTTTGTCAGACTCTGATCCACTTGTTGAAAGGGAACATCGGTACCGGCCTGCTGGGGCTGCCTCTGGCTGTCAAAAATGCAGGACTGGTGGTAAGCACTCACAGATTTCATCATCCTGTCATCTGGACTCAGAAAATTAGGTTATGCTGCTGTTTCTGTCAGAGACTTGTGAGAAAACAGACGGAGCAGAGTGGATATTTTTGTCCTTATTAGATTCAGAGCAGCTGTGAGGCGAAACGCATCAGGGACAGTCACCTGTACTTAATACAAAAGCTTTATACACTTATACTATGTGATGTTGAACTAGACTTTTCCATGAATCTTTATTGATATTTTAATCCCCTTTATATGTAATTTGATAGTGACAGGTACGTCTGTGAGAAACATTTTAAAAATAAACGTTACTCTCTAAAAAAAATAAAGTCAAATTTAAGTGAAAATTCATTCAGAGACTGGCCGGTTGTACAAGAGAGAAGATAGGGTTATCTAAATTAAATATGTTTTATTCAGTGAAAATAAATGGGTTAAAAACTTTGATTAAACAATCTAAAACTGTTCAGATTCTAATTACCAACCAGTGGGGTGGAAACCCTATTTAAAATAGCTGTGAAAATAGTGCCTGACCTATTTAAAACAACAAAAATAAGATAAGTTGATAGTCGTACCTCCCTCATGTAGAATTAAATCATATCACTCACTAACTGATAACACTGGTGTCCGCCTGTTCGGGGTTTATGGAAGGCTGCTGCAGCGTTCCTGACAGGATTTTAATTTTCTCTGGTGTTCCTCAAAAGGAGACAAAAGTCAAATGAGATCAAAGGAAGACGGAGTTCTGAGTCGTTAGGTTGATATTGAGCCGTTTACACAGTCAGCGGGGTGATGTGATCAAGTTCGTGTTACTGTTATCTGCTGATCCCACCGCTTCAGTAAAGGCTGCTTTTGTCTCAGCTCAGCTGCTTTTATTTAGCTTTCATTTAAGCAACAGAAAGACTCCAGACTGGTGTCTAAAGTATGATTAAATCATAGATTTACTCAGCAAAAACTGATTTTCAAGAAAGTAAATATGCCTTGGCGTCAGACATTTTATCAGAATTAAACAGAAAAAATGTTCTTTTCTGTAAACCAGCACTACTTGAAATAAGGTAAATATTGTTAAATGAGATTAAAAAAAATCTTGTTTTGGGTTAATAAAATAATCAGCCAATGGGGTAAGCTAAAGTTTCTTGGTTAGAATTTCTAAAAGCAGTAAATTAACCAAAAGGTTTTTATGCTTGTTTTTACTATATTGGTAGATTTATATAACTCAAAACAAGAACATTTGATCACATTTAAAGTACCACCAGTTTCCTGCTCCTCCCCCTACTGGTTCAAAGTGGAATTACAACTGATGCACACAACCCTGCTGCAGACTGCTGTAGCTAGTGCTAACAACAAGCTAGCACTACATGAGCTAACTAATACTAAAATAAACCACAAAGTAAAACTATTCACACTGTTGGACAAAAATATTACTACTTACAAGTCCCATAGCAACAAAGCCAGGTCATAACCAGTTTGTGACTTTGTAGCCTCCTTTAGCTCTTTCAAACTAGTGTAGGTTGTGCTGATGTTCACTCCAGTTTTAGCTCTTTGCTTCGCCTCCAAAGACATTACTCTCTTATTTCTACTTCCTGGTGCCGCCATTATGCCAACAGAAAAAGCAGACTTCTTATTTTTCTCCTTCTTGTGCTTTTTATTGACAATCAGCAAACTGAAAATGCTAACAGTAGCATTGCAGCTAACAGCTGAAAAGCAGGTTAAGAACACCCCCTAGAACACCTACCCACTTCACAAAACTATCAAGTGTGGTTTTTGGTCAACAGAGGACTGCAAAGTGTGTCAGATATGAAATTGGTCAAGTTTCTACCACTACAAACACTGAGATCAATGTGAAAGACCTAGCTTAAAGTTTAAAATCTATCTGTAGTTGAGGATGACGAAGAAAAACAGGTCATGTTTTTTTTTATTAAGCAAGAAAAAGCCGATGCGTTTCTGCTGCGTACGACCTTCTTCAGGACATAGACTATGAGTTTATGCCCTGAAGAAGGTCGTACATGACCAAAATGTCAAATATAATCCGTCATTAAGTTATTAGATTACTCCAGAGAAGACAGTGGAGATGTGTAACTTCAATCTGAGCTTCGCATTTTGGTGTTTTTATAAACTATTTCTGAGTTTATATAATTTGAAAACTGCCCCCCTGTTGGGAGACTCCTGACTGAGGAGAGGAGACGAGCAGAGCACACAGGGTGAATAATATATATAACTTACACTGCTGACAGGTCTGTTCATTGCTGACAAAGCTCTTTGTCTGGTAATGGCTGACTCTGATTCTGAAGAGTAATATTCACCCTCTGATGAAGATGTTCACTTGCTCAGTGAGGAAGAAAGTGATGTTGCAGCTGCTCAGCAGCACAGAGTCTGTGCACTTCACGGGAGTAAACAAGCTTCACACACACGATCCAACTCTTATTTCACCATGTTCATGACATGGCGGGTGCAGAAAGGATGGAACAAACTCCGCTAATAGTTACAGACAAAGCGGGAATGTAAAAGAGGAAAATAAAAGCCGGGCAGACGCATTAGATGTGAAACTGTAAGTAAAGGTGTGCCACATAATTGATATGAATATTCCAGCGATCGTAATAAAACAGCATTACTAAAAGGGGGAAAATTTTTGAAATCAGTATGAATGTACAATTTTTATGTAGCAAAGAGGACGTTGCCACGTGAGGGCGGAGCTAGATGAACCAAAAAAGTGGGTTCACCTGACAGCCTGTTTCGACTGTGCTGTTTGGATGATTTAAATGTTTCGGCCGAAAATGTTTGGTGGCCAAATTTTTGGTGCATCCCTAATATTTACCCTTTTTCAAGTAGTGCTGTTTTACAGATAAGAACATTTATTCTTCGACTGAACACAAGATCAGATGTCTAATCAGTTTTTTCAGTGTAACAGACTACTTAGAAACAGTGAATAGGACATGAAAGTTTTAATGTTCATGATGAAGGTCGTGTGGTTCACTGTGTTTTTGCTGTGATGTACTTCTGCATTTAAACACAAAACAACCTAATGATGAGTTCACTTCTCCAGGTGGGGCCAGTCAGTCTTCTGATCATGGGAATCATCGCTGTCCACTGCATGAAGCTGCTGGTGAAGAGTTCCCACCACCTCGGTTCTAAGTGAGTTTACAAAAACCACATATTTGATTAAAAAAATGCTATAATTGTTTGAGTAGTGTTTTAATTAGACGATGAGAATATAGTTTAGATAACGTGTATAGTTACAGTGTTGGAGTTGGAGTCGTGCCCCCCACTAGCACCAGAGTTCCAGCATTTCTGTGTTACATTAGTTAGAGTCTCACTCTAGGCTTCTCCTCTACCATACCAGCACACAGGGTTTTGATGCCTATATTGTCGTTTGCTAGCCTAGCTGTTTGCTGCAGCAGCAACAGTTTATGTGCTGCTGCTGTCTGACAGATCACACTCCATTAGTTCCTGTTTTCTGCTCGGTAATCAGAGCCACATTGACAGCTTGCTGTGCACTCCCCAGACGTCTGACAGCCCTACTAGACAAACACATTATAATGTTCCAGCAGACAGACGTGGTGTCGCGCTGCAGATGTTGTTCAAGCAGCTTCACCAATAGAGCCGTGTGATCTCTATTTGTTTTACAGCTGTTCAAGTCTCACTTCTGAGGACCCAGTGGTTATGAGGCTGCAGCCGGCGCTGCCTCTGACTGTTAGCTTGTCTGTACTTGCTGCCCTTTGCCCAGTTCAGGTGGAGATCTCCTCCAGCCACACCCTGCCACGTTAGAGGATTAAGGCCTTCTCCGCAGTCGGGAACAGTAGCAGTCTGAGAAATGCAGAGAAACTCGACTCGTGAAAAAGTGCAGCTCTAATAATTTTTTAGGCATCCTTCTTGCAGAGTCATCACATCCTCTTTCATAGATGAATGATGAAACCCGGCTCTACATGTTTGTTTCTGCACCAGAAACTCTGTTAATCTTTGTGACTTTGCTGAGTTTCATTTTTTAATCTCCCTTTCAGCTTTGCCATCTTCCACCAAACGCCAGAGGAGATGATGATGTTTCTGTCTGCATTTAAATTGTTTTTTTTTTAATGAAACTAACAGGAAGTCTTGAGCGGGTCTTGCTCAATTATGAGTTAACCTTTTGAATCGATCCAGATAAAGATGGCTAACACGGCGGCCACTTTCATACATATTTAGTTACATTTTGGTGCCTTGGTAGCTAAGAGTCACTTACAACCAGCACTTGGAGAGCTTCACATTAGAGGCACCACTTAGAGGCAGAAAAGTGTATTGCACCTTTAAGAAAAAAAGAAATAAATAAAACGATCTTTTATGCAGCGCCACTCAAAATAAAAATCACGAGGCGCTTCACAAACAAAACAAAAAAAAACAATTAAAATATAAAAACATCATTAATGCTAGCTAACACTTTTGCTTCAAAATGCATGAAAAACAAATCTCATCTAGAGTTCTGATGAGAATTAAAAAGAGAGATCATACCTCTCCTGTCTTAGCTTCCCTACACTGACTGCCTGTTAAATTCAGAACAGATTTTAAGATCGTCCTTCTAACAAATAAAGCTCTGAATAATCAAGCTCCATCATGCATAAGTGACCTTATTTAAGCCCATCCTCCTACTTCTTATAGACCTAATTGTCCATAAGAAATGTCACCAACTCTGCATCTGTTCAACAGCCCAGTTGAAGGGGGTCAAAAGTAAGTTCTTTGCTGATCTTTGAGGCGGTTTTCAGGAAGTTTAGTCTGTCGGCTTTTCTTTACTTTTGTCTGCAGGTAAAAGCAGGCAGTTGGGGAATCCGCTTTTCTCGTGGCTTTGAATGTGATTGTAAACAGCTCGAAAACACTGTTCAGTCTTGGTGCTTCTGCTAACGCGTGTGCACCCTCTGTGGTTGAGGTCAGATGTTGAACACTGTTGGCAAACCCTGAGCGATGGTCAAGTAAAATTGCATAAGGCTCTATGGGACAGGGGGTGGGCTTAGCAAAAAATAAAAGTGAGATAATGGCTACAATATATCACATAATAGGGTCAGACTATCACTGTTATGGATTTTTAAAAGTTCCTTCATCCATCCATCCATTTTCTATACCTGCTTATCCATGTAGGGTCACGGGGGGCTGGTGCCTTTCTCCAGCAGTCTCTGGGCAAACAGGCGGGGTACACACTGGACAGGTTGCCAGTCCATCGCAGGGCAACACAGGCGCACACACACACACACACACACACACACACACACACACACACACACACACACACACACACACACACACACACACACACACACACACACACACACACACACACACACACACACACACACACACACACACACACACACACGAGGACAATTTAATCAACCTTACAATCATATTTTTGGACTGGATTCCTACATAATTCTAGAAAAGAGGAAAGTCTGGATTGCTGCTTTAGCAGGTTTAGTAGCTGAAAGTCTTTTAGTGCAACAGTCTGAATGTTAAGATGTTGTACAACATGATGCAATGTTGTGTGACATTGTGCAAAATGTCATTTTCAATATTTGCACCAAAAGGCTATAATTCCATCATTTTTCACTAATCTTAGTTGAAATCTCTGACATTAAAATCAACAGTCGATATGCAGTACTTTAAAATCAGACTATTTATTTACCTAGGAGAAATTTTCAAATTACAAAGGATTTAAATGTATTTATTGCTTTTTTGGTACTTTTACTGTGTTTTCCAGGATGGACAGACCGACTCTGTCTTACGGTGAGGTGATGCAGTATGGGATGGAAAATGTCTCGTGGCTGAGGAGACATTCTCAGTGGGGAAAGTAAGAACACAGTTCTGTAGATCCTTGGTCTGGGTTTGTCCTTAATGGGGATTTTATGTTAAAATAGCACACTATAATATGAAAAGCCAAGATGACGCGAGGTTGAACGTTTGGGTTTACCTCTGATGCTGTTTAAACTTTTCTTCCCCCACTCCCTTCAGACGGATGGTGAACTTATTCCTCATTATCACCCAGCTGGGCTTCTGCTGCGTCTACTTTGTCTTCCTGAGTGACAATGTCAAGCAGGTCTCACACACACACACACACACACACACACACACACAACCACGCACACACACACACACACACACACTAGAGGTGGGAAAAATGATCGATTCTAAGATGCATCGCGGTTCAGCCGTGCATGATTCCCCATCGATGCAGCAACGTGACATAATGAGATTCTCTCCCTATGTCTATGTCGGGGGTCGGCAACCCGCAGCTCTGGAGCCGCATGCGGCTCTTCCATCCATCTGATGTGGCTCTCTGTGCTTATAAAATAATGAATGGATATTTAAATAAAATGCTTTATATTTTACTGCATTAATTTTACATCTGTATGCCAATTCTAAATGTAAAGATTGTCTGCGTAAACATGAACAGGTCCAACCCGGTCTTACTGTGAGACCGGGTTGACGGGTCATGCTTGTGCGTAATCATAGGCGCTTTCTGAGCTGAAGAGGATGTGAGATTCTGGGCTTCTCCTCAGACGGCTCCTGGATGTGTCGCCACATTGGAGACAGGAACGAGCGCTATTCAGCCAAAGTTTCATAATCAGGGAACATTTTCTAAGTGAAAAGTCTCGCTTCAGTCGAAGGAATCTTCCCGCATGCGCTCTAGTTCTGTGACATGCTCCAAGCCCCTCTCCACATCTTCAGCTCACTGTGCACCGTACGTACGCGTTGACAGTGAGCTGCGCTGAGCTCAGTGTCCAGCTCAGATGTTCAGATGGGAATCTTTTCTTGAGTGATTTAGCTACATCTGTGCGAAACGAATAAAATGTCAGTTCGTCTGCATGCGTCGGGGTAATTCTTTCTATTCTTTCTCCGTCAAAATAAATAGTCAAATACGGGAACTGTCCGGTCAACACAAGCCCTGCTTTTAACTGTTCTGTTTTCTTGTGAAAATTGTTGCAAAGAGATAAAATTAAACTTGATTAACACCGGAGCCAGGCGCACTGCGCCGTTATCTCCGTCACTGTAAATGAGGGAAAAACAAATTGATCGGATCCTTTTCTGACCTTCCCCACCTACAAAGTTTAATTACAACAATCAAACGTGACAGAGCCTGGATTTGTATTCTGAACAGTCTAAACATGTTTTAAAAAGAAACGTATGACTAAAGGGGCACCTGCTCAGTAAAACCGCCAACAGGGTGAAAAAATACCAAAATAGTGTAGGCAGAGACGGGCTACAACTTCTGGATCCACTTTATATAAATCGTTTTATTGATTATGGTCTTATGAAAGATAACTTTGACGTACACGAGCGACCGGTACTGGCTGCTGTCACCTGTTGTGAGCAGCTCTCTGCTGTCTGAGGGTAGGCCCCGCCCACAACGCCGCAGCTGCTGTGGCTCCCAGTGTTTTCTTTACTGTGGGAAACGGGTAATAATGGCTCTTTGATGGGAACAGGTTGCCGACCTCTGGTCTATGTCTATGCGAGGACAATAAAGTTTTGAGGTTTTATAATTACTTCTGGGGGCAGAGTTGCAATGACATGCGCACTGCGTTGCCCTAGCGCCATTTTAAAACAGAAAAGGCGGACAGGGATACAGGGCCAACATTACCAGTAATCAAAGATGTACCCGTTACATTTAAATCGGATGTCAGGGCTAATTTCGGTTTTGGGATCCTGGATGTGAAAGAATCACTTAACACAGTATTTGTTCACTATTTTTAAGTTCAGTAATATTCTATCTTAAAGCTGCTCTACCGAAAACATTATTTCTTATATTATTTAAGTAATTATAGGCAGCGCACTTTAAAAATTATTGCTCACTATAGTGAATAGATGAATGTTCTGTTTTTCAGGGATTTCGAAATCAAAAAGAAATTGAAAACTATTCTACTGCTTTTATTAAGTAATGAAAATTTTTGTGTGAAGAATCGTGATGCATTTCAGACTCAAATCGAATCGTGAGGCAGGTAGAGATGCACACCGCTAACGCACGCACGCACGCACGCACACACACACACACAGTGACCTTTGCCTTCTGCTGGTCCCAAAGATTTAATAACCTGTTAGGATTATTGCTTGTTCTGTCAGCGCGACGTCCAGGTTACCATATTCTGACCTCTCACAGTTCTGACAGGGAGAGTAAATCTGCACATTTAAATACTCTTTATTGCCTTATCATATATGCTTCTGCATCATATAATAGAAGTTCTGTTTATGACCATAAAGTAACATGAAACAAGTTAAGCTGTGTGCCTGCTCTTGTGTGTCACCAGCAGTGTTGTACCATATTCTGCTGCCATTAGATTCGGTGACTCTACGAAGGAGCCTTCAAAAAGGGACCTTTGAATTTTTGTATTTTTTTTAAAATGTAGCTTGCTTGGATGGCTTTTTCCAAGATCAAAGACGGTTCCTGTAACAGCTGATGAGTGACTTAAAGAAAACCAAATCTAATCAAGAAGACTTATGAAAAAGTTTCACTAACCCCAACACAAACACACGTGTTCACTGTAATGTCAAAACCTTTGACCTCTGAACTCTTTGTTATCTTGTGAGCATTTGTTTGAGTTTTGTCCGGAATGCTTTTAATGATTCTTTTAATCAGTTCCTCCACTTTGGGCTTGCACAAAGTTAGGAGCTCAGAATATTTATTTAGCATGAAAAACACAAGGTCAAAAACATGGCTTTGAATTCATTTCACCGTTGAGTGCCGCATTCTTCCACAAGATGGCAGCATTTGTCTAGGTTTTTGTCCCACCATCACCCATAACACATCTTCTCCAGGATCTTGAAGGCAGAGATCTGGGTGTAGAGAACCACCAGCACTACCTAGGGCAAGTCGACCACCTTCAGCTTCCTCAGGATTAACATCCTCGGTTTGACATGACATTTATATGGATGATTCCTAGAAAATGTGGTTGCAGGAATTAAAAGGACTCAACTGCTGAGTGGAGAGATACATTTTTAGGTTTTACTCAATTTATTGTGAAGTGATCCGGCAAAAGAAAATGAATCTTATGAAACAAAAACTGCATTGCATCAGATTTAGCTGCTGGCTGAGTTTCATCTGTGGCTCTAGAGCAGATTAACAATAAACAGATGTAAAATACTGGTAATTAACATGCAGATTAAGTATTTTTTCTGTATTCTCAGATTGATGTATAACCTTCTCACCGGATTTCTACTCAGGTGGTGGAAGCAGCCAATGCCACCACCGTCAGCTGCCAGGTGAACCACACCAACCAGACCGAAATCCTGGTTCCGAGCTTCGACTCCCGCCTCTACATGCTCTGCTTTCTGCCCTTCATCATCCTGCTGGTTTTCATCCGTAACCTGAAGTACTTGGCGCCCTTCTCTCTGTTGGCAAACCTGGTCATGACTGTTAGTTTGGTCCTCATCTACATCTACTCCCTCATGGTAAGCTCCTCCATTTATCTTTCATTGCTAATTCTGATGTGTCTTGTCTCTGTGCCGACCTCATTTTGCGTGGCTGGGCTCGAACACGTACAGAACAACAAATAATGCCGCATGTGGCACGACACCAAGAAGCAAATAATTTGCACACGCAGTACAGCTGCATTGCTTCTGCATCTGCAGATGATCAGTAAACACAAAGGATTTACATATCTTGGCCTCATTCTGTGTTTTTGTAATGTGAGTCCGCTCAAGTCACAGGCTAAGCTGGGAGACGGATCCCTTCAGGAATCTCTCAGGACCGGCTGTCCTCCATCCATCTGTCCATGTTGTCTCCTGGGATATAACCAAGAGATCTGATTAGGAGTGGGCAATACAACCCAAAAATGGTATCCTGATATTTCGTAGATCAGTGTGACATTATAACAAAAAACGTTGTTTCCATTCAACATGTATTGGGTAGTAAAACCAGAGCCCATGATTTTCTTTTGTCCTAATTCCACATTTTCACTTTTTAAATTTTTTTTTATCAAACTTATTCTCAAGCCAGCATTTCCGTTCTTTCTACAATTATTCACCTGAAAACTGTGTAACTAGAAAGTGAAGAAGAAATTATCTTTTATATAACACCTCTCAAGATAAAAATTATGAGGCGCTTCACAAGAACAAAAATGTAAAATGAGAAAAATAAATTGTGATTAAAAGAAAGGGAAAGATGAAATGAATAAGAAGGAGGTAATCAGTGGATCCCGGGATTGGCGGAATTGGTAGAAAGAGCAGAATAAGGAGAGGGTGGTGATGAAGGTCACATTAAAGCCAACCTGAACAGATGAGTTTTCAGCTGCGTTTTAAAGGAGACCACCAAGTCCAGAGTCTGGGGGCCACAGCAGCAAATGATCTTTCACGTTGAATGAATTTTCATTCAACAAATCACTAGCAACATAATTAAAATCCTCTGATTATTGTTTAACTCTCACAAACATAACGAAGTGTCGTGGTTCAGCACAACACCAAGTGCTTTTGTAAGATCTCTAAAAATGTTTACTGGTCTGTACTCAAACTAGGTGTTCCTGTGTTTGTAGTCGATGTTCAACAACCACAGGCAGGGCAGCTTTATTTGTATAGCACCTTACAACAGCATAAAACCGACCAAAGTGCTTCACAGAAATTAAAACATTAAAAAACAAAACAGAACATAACAATGCATAAAGACTAAAGCTTAAGAACGAACACTAAAAAGAATAAAAAAAGACACTCTTGCTGAGTTAAAAGCCAAATCATAAAAATAGGTTTTCAACAGTAAAACCAGACAGTGAAGAGGCCGACCTAATGCTCAACGGCAGCGCATTTCAGAGCCTAGGGGCCGCTACAGAGAAAGCCCTGTCACCTTTGAGCTTGCGTTTTGTTTTTGGGACATCCAGGAGCATCCTATCAGCCGACCTCAGAGATCGTGCAGGGTATAAAAAAACCAGTAGCTCAGAGAGGTAATCTGGAGCAAGGCCATGCAAAGATTTAAAAGCCCATAAAAGCACCTTGTACTGGATTCTTAAACAAACAGGCAGCCAGTGCAGTCAGGTCAAGTCAGGAGTAACGTGCTCCATCTTTTTCATTCCAGTGAGCAGCAACTATAGACAACTGTATCTATTGGGCTGAACTTCTAGAGTTAGCAGGTGCGCCCTGCTCTTGCTAGCTTCTTGCTCCATACCATACCATACCATACCATACCAAACCAAACCATACCATACCATACCATACCAAACCAAACCAAACCATACCATACCATACCATACCAAACCAAACCAAACCATACCATACCATACCATACCAAACCATACCATACCATACCATACCAAACCAAACCAAACCAAACCAAACCATACCATACCATACCATACCATACCATACCAAACCATACCATACCATACCATACCATACCATACCATACCAAACCAAACCAAACCAAACCAAACCAAACCATACCATACCATACCATACCATACCATACCATACCATACCATACCATACCATACCAAACCAAACCAAACCAAACCAAACCAAACCATACCATACCATACCATACCATACCATACCATACCAAACCATACCAAACCATACCATACCATACCATACCATACCATACCATACCATACCATACCATACCATACCATACCATACCAACGAGGGCTGCACGATATTAGGAAAACCTGTGACATGCAATAACAGTGATTAATATTGCAATGGCGATATTACTTGCGATAAATAAAAACTTAACTCGGGAACAAAAATAATCAAAAACAAAAAAATTGTAAAAATGAGAAAAGCAAAATATGTCAGGAAAGGGAAAAAGAAAATGAACAAGAAAAGGCAATCAGTGGATCCCGGAAAAAGCTGAATCAGCAGAAAGAGCAGAACAAAGCTAACTCAGGTGTTTACTAACCATCAAAATTAAGTGCCATCTGCCATCTGCATTAAAAATGCCTGGTCATAAAAGTGGGCCTTAAGTAGTGACTTGAAATGGGGGAGGATGGGTCATGAGTCTCTCTTCACCGTTTGTGTGGAGAGACGGACTGAACCCCCTTGTGTGAGTAGGTAACGGGTACGGCAGCCTACAGGGGCCAAAGTACCTCAGGAACTACCATGAATCTTACCTTCTCACTAATATGAGTGAACACAGACTCCAGCCATGTGAATTTTTATAACTCTAGCTTTTTATAACTCTAGCTCTGACCCACTGTAGCATAATGAAAGTGCGGATGCCATCTAATTAGCATATCATGATACATATTTATTTTACCCAGGAAAGAAATATCTACTGGTGGAGGATGAGGTAGGATACCTGAGAGGTGAGGCAGTCTCATCATTGCTCCGAACTGAGCCAGTCAGAGTGACTTAATTCCATTAAAAACAACGTGAACCTCAAGAGTTTTAGTGCAGCTTAACAAATCCAGTATATTGGATTTTTAAGCCCAGTTTTGAAAAAGGCCTCAGGGCTGAAACTGCAATTTACTAAACTGAAACATGCAACACTTTCTCTACTTATTTGAACTTGTTTTCCAGTATTTGACACCTCAGTGAAATCTTTGATGTGAGTCTATTTAACATGAAAATGCCGTGACTAACCCACTGATTCAGTGACTTTCTATGGCATTGTGTTTAAGCTGTTTTAAATGATAAATGACCCGCACTTGTATAGCGCCTCTCAGAGTAAAGACTCCAAAGCGCTTTACACTACAGTATATCATTCATCCATTCACACACTGATGGTGATGAGCTACGATGTAGCCACAGCTGATGTAGCCACAGCTGCCCTGGGGCGCACTGACAGAGGCGAGGCTGCCGAGCACAGGCGCCACCGGTCCCTCCGACCACCACCAGCAGGCAAGGGGGGTTAAGTGTCTTGCCCAAGGACACAACAGCAGAATTCTCTGTCCGGAGCCGGGATCGAACCTGCAACCTTCCGATTACTGGACAACCCGTTCAACCTGTTGAGCTACTGCTGCCCCAAAGGGGCAGAAAAGAAGTGTACTTTTCTGGTGCACATCTTCTGGTCTGTTAGCCAAGCTTGTTGATTAGAAGTCCTTACTTATGAGTCAACTGCTGTCTGTTGTAGTTGAGTTATTTAGTTATTCACAAATATTTTAAAATAAGAATATATCATTTTATTTCCTATCCAAGCAAATGAACTAAGAGTATGAAATAGATCTGTGTTGCTGTGCACATCTGACAGCAGGACCATATTGGTGTCCATAAACATTTTTATCTTTTCTTGCTAATAATACTCACAGCCTCCTAATCTCACATCTTGTCTATCTGACAATACGTTTTGAATGCTGCAGGGGTTTCCTTTAAATATAATTCATAATCTGCTCACTTTTCTAAATTCAGTTGTCGGTCCCAATCTAATCTCTCTGGCTGCCTTGATTCTGCTCTAGGAGTTGGAATAAAATATGAATTTAAAAATATAAATTTTGAAGCTTTAAGACCAAGTTTGCTCGTTTTCAACACATTCACAGTGGTCTCTAGTATAAATGAATGTCTTGTGAGTCAATGTTTGTGGGGTGAAAAGCACTGACGCTCCTGTTTCAGGAACTAGAACTTAGTAGGAGGAGAGGGGAGCAGAACACGGCAAAGTCTTACTTGTCATAATTTCCTGATATTTCAATTCGGACAACTTGCAACTCTACCACTAACATGGTTTGCTTTGCAACATTATTGTTAGTTTTTTTTTTCTACAAATAGCACAAGTCTGAAGGAGTTCTGCCATGTTGTGGAGTTGCTAATGCTAATGGTTAGCTGGAACTAATGGTTGACGATTTGTATAATTTTTTCCACTGCCAGTCGTCAGTCCAATAATTGACGATGGGCGATTTATTCGTGCATGTGACTCTTTGAGCGACGTCATAATGCACGGACTGATTTGCATATACAGTAGAAGTACAAACACAGATTTGTTTATGTTTTTTATAGAAGCGCAGTGCAAATGTTTGATTTTTCTTTTTGTTTAATTTACTATTTGTAGTTTGGTAGAGTGACGTATAAACAGCTCGTATTAAACACGGTTAAATTGGTCAAAAGAAGCCTTGTCTTTGTTTCCCTGTGGTGCCCACTATTGTGGTATTTATTTAAGCAAAATGATTTTTTTTTCTGAACAAAGGCTACTGGGTTTCTTTCTTTTATGACTTGGAGAAATGGAATTAATCGCTGCTGCGTCTGGACACAGTGGGGAGGGAGCATTTGCTCGCAACCAGAAATTCAGGAAATATGGGTAGAAGATTATTTTCACATTCAGCCTGCATGTGAAAAGCAGAGTGGCCGATCGCATTTAAAAAATAACAAGTAAAACATGGTTTCTGAGTGAACTTGGTCTTTAACATGATCTGTTTTATATATTTATTTATTTTTACTCAATGCACAATTTTGAAGATTTTTTACTGGTGCCAATGCCAGTTGGTTCAGAAAGCTGCAGCCAGAGTCACGGCTGGAACTAAAAGACACAAAAGGGT